AATGTTATCAAACTCGCATGGCTAGACACTTTAACAAAAAGGTCAAGACAAGAAACATTAAGGGAGGAGACTTAGTGTTAAAAGCACTTAGAAAAAATGTCCTAGACCCAAGAGGAAAATTTAGGCCTAATTGGTCTGGACCATACATTGTTAAAACTATCCTATCTGGAGGCGCAGCTAGGTTAACAAATATGGATGGTAATGAATTCTCGAACATGACAAATGTTGACCAACCCAAGAAGTTCTACCCAACGATTTAATTGAGTTATGTACTCAAGAGAGCTATGTTTGGTTTGATTCCTTAACAAGGATACGTAGGCAACCCTTCCGCAGGGTGCGGCCACTTTAAATTTTCAAAATCTTGCCCTTTTACACAAGAAATCAACTCGGAATCGTAAAAATCAAGAATTTCGCAAAAACAGAATTCAACGCATCGCAATAGGATCATCGCGCCGCGATAAAATTATCGTTTCGCGTTAGAGCCATCGCACTGCAATAACCCCATCACGTCGCGACAAAATTGTTTCTTCTCTGAGGCGGGCTGCGATTAATTGCAACAGTTTCAAATTATTTTTGTGAATTTTCTGACTTCCTTATTCGGATTATTTTCAAAATTACTCAAGTTGTTTTGATTGCTTAAAACTTTACATTAAAGGAATATAGTTAATTTATTTAAAAGCTAAAAATTACATTAATAATTGAATTAAAATTAAAATTACATTATTGATGATTTAAAAGCTTGAAATTAAAATTAACTTGGAAATTAAAATTGTCTAATAACAATAAAAGTAAAGCAATGCTCTAATCTTTCTTCTCCTTCCGAACCTGACAGGCGTGTCGCGTGCCTAACAAAAATAACCTAACAGTTACTCCTAACTATGTAGTCGGGCAAGTAAGGGTCGAATCCCAAGAGACTAAGGTCTACCTAATTAAATAGACTCAAGTAATCACTAAGCAAGTGACAAATCAATGGTGATGAAATTCTAAGAACTAATAAATAAAGGACTTAATAAATCTAAAGAATGTGATAAATCAATGAACTAAAGCATCCAAGATCTAGCATTACCACGAATATAATCAATGCATAAATAATTCTACCCCCAATAACAATTCAATCGACAAGAGAAAAAGCATTCCCTAATCAATACCAAAGGTCTCTCCCAAGTTATCAATGGCTTCCCAAATCAACTATCAATCTTATTTCCATGGAATCAAGCAAATAAGGGACATTAAACACAATACTTAATTTCCTAATCATTCAATCATCTACTTCCGTGATGACCTTCAAACCCTTAATTGAAATACTCTAATCCCGTTAATATTCAACTTCCGTTGCAACAAGAACAAAAGGATGATAACAATACTAATTATTCCTAATCTAGCATTGGCATAAACACAATCAATCAAGCATGTCAATTGAAAATATTATTGGAGAATTTAAAGATTTAATCTAAACATTAATCATATCCAGGCTTTACAAGATCTCGGATTATGAATCTACTCACACATACTAAAAACAAGATTTAACAGAGGAAACATAATCAATAAGCAATAATAAATGAAAGAGAAGTGATATAGATGAATACCAAAATTACTTTAACTGAAAGAACTTGAATTGTTGATGAACAATAATCAAACTAAGAGTAGAAATTAAAATGCTTAAAGAAAGTAAAACTAGGGTTCTTAAAGAAAACTAAAACTAGAGGATATAATGAAGTGTATTCTAATTGTGATTACAAAGGGTATTTATACCCCTAAAAAGATAAATTACGAAATTAAACAAGTCGGCTTCCGCGAAACAGTGCCCGGTCCAACAGGCAAGGGGTGCCCCATCGGGCGGCTGGAGTACGGCCCAATTCTTCTTCGTTAATCTTTTCTTTATTCTTCTTCCACCTCGTGCCCAGTCCCACCGGGCGAACCATGCCCGATCGGGCGTGCAAGACAAATCAAAGCTAACTGCTGCCTTCTCTGTTTTCATAGCTATCTTCTAACTCTGCAGTGCCCGGTCCCACCGGGCGAGCTATGCCCAACTTGGCACGTGGATTCTACAGCATATACTCCATATCTAGCTTACCCTTCTTTTCCTTGTCTGACCAGGCAAGCTATGGTCAACAGGGCATGGGGGAAATCTTCATTTTCGCACACTAACCTCCTCTATAACTATCCAAAACACGTCCGATTCATCCACGAAGCTCCGTATTCCTATGAAACTCACAAAAATAGATCGAACACACTAGAGAAGAGATTGTTAGCAAGAAATAGCTCCAAAGAGCCCAAAACCATGCAAATATACATTGTAAAACCGAGATAAAAACATGGTATAAAACTCATACATCAGAACCCTTTTCCAATTCTTGTCTAAATCTTCTTCATCTTCTAGCTCCTTTACCAATAGGGAACCATTAGATGATCGAACCAAAACCTTAGAAGAAGTTTCCCCTTCAGCAAAGACCCCCACCTTCTTCTCAACTCGAGCCTTCTTTTCCTTTTCTATAGCATTAGCCTTCCTTTTCACTTTACCCTCTACAACACTTTTCTTCTTTGCATGATAGAAGTCTTGAATTCAACTTTTGAACCCAGATGATCTTTAAAAGGAACCTTCTTGTCCCCTAAGCTGTCTTTTATGTTTGTCTTCTCCACACCCTTAAACTTGTGTTTCGAACCTTGTTTTTATCCTTTTGATTGCAACCGAGTAACCATTGTTTAAATTCTTTAGACAATGGGGGAGGGACTCTATCAGAAACAACATTCCATAAGGGTCTACCACACCAATAATCGTCAAACCTTTCAACATTCTTTGAGACAGGGTTCTTATAAGGTCGACGATGATCACCAGAAGAGATAGTTTGAGCAAGGCCATACTGCCTCATTACTCTAGAAGGGTAGTAGAAAGTCAACTTTGACAAGCTTGGAATACGACAGGAAGGTTGAGTATTGACTCGAATCATCTTTTCAATATTCCACCAAGAGACGACCCACTTGATGGAGAAGTCGCGAGCTTCAAAAATTCTACTCCGCTCCCGGTGTCCCATCTTAAGGAAAATTGTTTCTTCCTTCTCACAAGGAAATTAGGAGTGCACTTTTCGATGTTATCAGGAGGCTGATCAATCCAAGTCTTTCCATTAGCCAAATCTGCAAGAATAAAAATAAATTATTATTACTTTACAAAGTTAAATATTTTTTATTTCTGTAATTTAAAGTATTGATTTTCTAGATGTAATAATATTGGTGATCCTGGAATTGGTGCTTTGGGATCCTTTTTCAATTCATATAAACTTAGCATTGTTTCTCTGACAATTAAAGGCATTGGATTCCTCCCAGCATCAACTTGTTCCATAACAGATGCTAATATAGCTTGATCCATATGACTACCACTAATGAGCAAAAATTGGCTAAACATGCAGAAAAGTAAAGCTCTTCTCCTATATATGTGAAAAGAATTAGACCTAGGTCCATTAAAGAAAAAAGACGCGAATTTTCTTAAATCAACTTCTTTTCCATGAATTATAGTTTTTAAATCGGTTCCCCTAAGATTATAAAAACGCTCAAAAATAGCACCAAATTCTTCCGGCAGGGAGCTAATTTCATCGTTTTCTAGCCTAAAACAGTGAGTATTAAGGTCCCAATATTCTATGGAAGTATGAATAAAATCACTCTCAAGATCTACCCCTTTAATGCCCAATAGACCACTCATGTTGAGAAAATCAAGTTCTTTCCTCTCATTAGTGGTCAAAGACCGACACCACTCACGGGTGATTTCACAAAAACTTCTATACATGACTACTAAATTATGAAAACTTGAAAAATTTAGGGAGCTAATGACTAGATTTGTACAGAATATGGCGAAGTTAGGGGATTTTTATAAGCAAAATTGAAGCAGAAACTGAATTGTATTCGAACTAGAATTTTCCAGATCCATCGCGGCGCGACAGAGTTGTCACGCCGCAAAAAAGTCATCGCGCCGCGACAAGCCTATTGCGCCGTAATAAAACCTAACGCCCGCGACAAAAAGCGCGTCCTAATTAATCCACTAATTTGATTTTGACTCGAATTTGTATCTTGATGTTTCCGGATTTCATTAAATTTTTTTCACTTTTCCAACATATAATCCACCTTAGCCTATGATGACTCAACCTTTTAATTTAATCCTAATTAATTTGGGAATTTCTCATGTTAATTCTAAACTTATTTTTGCCTCATTTTCTTTTTTCATTTTTTCTTTTTAAAGGAGAAAGTCGGTACCCTCCACAAAAATGACGAAATTTTTTTGCTTTTCTGCATTTTCGAGTTGCACGAGCACAATCACAACCGAGTTGAGTCATGCACATTGGGTTGTCGTCGAGTTGAGTTTCCACATACATGTCAAAACTCATCGAGTCAAGTTGAGTATATTGAGTCACACAATGAGTCAAGAACATCAAGCCTTGAGTCAACCTTAAGCCAATCAACAAAAATGAGTTGAGTACACCAAGCCTTGGGTTAACCTCAAGAAAGCTATAAATACGAGCAAAGTCCTATAGTCCAAAATATAGATGCAGGTACACTAAGTCCCTGACGGGCGAGTAACCTTTACAAGAGACTTGAGGCGATTTGATTAAGCAAAAAGGCACAGAAATGGCAACGGAAGCCGAATGGGCAGAATGAGTCTGACTTTGATTCCAGCACAACACGCACTACTACATTTTTGATCTATTGCAACCCCCAAATCCGTTGCATTAGGCATCAAAATCCGTGGCATTAGGCCTAATGTAATGGCCATGTACCGTGGCATTTGCTGGCGTTGCAGTAGGTCTAATGCAACGGCTTATGACACCTAATGCCACGGCACCACTGATCCGTGGCAATAGACCAATACCTAATGCAACGACATAACTTATCCGTGGCAATAGAGTACTGACTAATAATTATGATGAAATTGAACCTATTGCAACGGATGAAGCTAATTACTACAATGATAGGAGTACTTATCTACTGCAACAGATTGATTTTTTTTTTTTTTTTGTTGGGATGGAATGGTAATATAATATATGTATAATTAGTTAGTACAAATCTAAATATACTAACAAAAAACAAAATAAAGTATCATTTATATATAATAATTATAATGCGAAATACGTACATTACAAAATATTACTCGCTTGTTTTTGGTATGACATACCCTACTAATTAAAAAAAAAGTTATATAAGGAATTTAATCGTCCAATAAGCCGAAATTGTCAAATCTTCACAAAGCCGGAACTTGAATAAGAGTCGCCAACATAATATGCACCATTTGTTAGATGACTAGTCACTATTCTTCCGCTGCATTTAACTCCTCATGCACCTACACGTAAAATTTAAAAAAATAATAGAAATATAATTGAACTAAATTATAAATTATAATAGACCAAGGCCACAATCAACATGAGAAAAGTTCAAAACGCACAGATGATGGTTGTTTAAAAGATGGCAGCAAAGAAGTTTTTTTTTTTTGGAAAAAGACATATAAAATGGGCAATCATCATTACATATATGGGAAAAACAAAAGAAAGGTTAAGGTTGAAACCTCACGAATACGCCAAAATGAAGATACTTGATTTATGTCTTGTGCAACCACACCATCTAATATTAAACCACTTTCCATCAAGCCAAACAAGAACGTCTCAAACCTCTCTCTGGATACATAACCATCATCCAATTTCAGATCTATGAATTACTAATCATTATTTATAACAATATCCTGTTGGCAACCAATAAAAAAATATGTAAGCAAACTACACATACTTTTCTTTAAAGTTAGCAAGATGGGTGGATGGGCCTCAGTTAGGAGTCAGGCTAGAGAAAAAGGGAGCAGAGACCAGCTCAGACAGAAAACCTAGGAACAGAGAAGGGGGAGGAGGGTAGAGAGACTTTGCTTGGTATCTTATTGATGTTAATTGAAATTAGTCAATTAGTCATCAAATACCTAACTGAATGTTAATTAAAATGACAAACTAGTGTATTCTCCAAAAAATAAAAAATAAAATAAAATTATAAAGAGACTAGAGAAACCTGAAGTTTTTATATGGTTATATAGCAAGCTAGAATAATATGAAGAGAATGCCAGTAATCCAGTATGCCACAAAGGTAGAAATTAGTCATCAAAACCCTAACTGGATGTTTGAATGGGAAGGAAATAATAGAATAGATTGAACTTTTTTCATACTTTACTATAGCTGCTATAATGCGAGGACAGGAGTTAACTACAGTAGTATATTTGTCTCTGGAATAAGAAGAGTAGGGTATACGTGACAGAGTTGTGCTTGTGCATCCAAAGAAAGTATTGAAGAAATTATCAGGAGAGTCATTTGCAAGAGAGAAAGACACGTTCCCCACACAATTATGTTCTAGACATTCTGAAATACCTAAAACTCGCGTTAAAACAAGAAAACAAATTACCGAAACAAATAGAACCAATGATTGATGGTTTAACCACAGCATCCCCATGTCATACTTTAAAATAACTTGTGGAAGCAATTGCAAGATATGTTATAATGTTAGGGCATAGAACGTTTAAGTGACCAAAAATACCATCACAAGTTACGTTCTAGGCTTCTAACACCTATAAACCAGTTAACAAACTAAATGATTTAATTTCCAAATTTTCCCTTGGTCAAATTTAGCTATATTTGAATCAAACTTAGACACCATAGACACAAATCTGTTTAAAAAATCTTGCTTTATTTTAACAGAAGGTAGGAGTGTAGCCAGAGATGCATGTTTTAACAGATGTTCAAAAATCAATTTTTCAGATATCAAGCATGTGTATGTGGATTTGCAACACAATGCAGCTTAATACCATATCTATCAAAGAAAAAGCTTACCGCGTCCATTGCATGACTATCCAAGAACTCAAACGCTGATAAGACCTCTCCAAGTTTCCTTCTGGCTTTAAATAAAAGTTTATGTAAGAATTACATAGGAAAGATTAATTGGTTGAATTAATTTTTATCCCTATGAGACATCCATGGCAACAGACTTTGTTTTCGGTAGACACGAGAAGATAAATAACCACCTCAGAGATTTCACTGTAGCATTGCCCATGATTTATGTCCAAAATCTTATTATGACTTGTATTATAGTTGTATGTTGATTTAGGCCAGAAATTCAGTGTGACTTTGTGTGTGTTATAGTTTGTGCCATGTCTATTACAATGTATTGTACAAAAATGTTACTTAAGAGTTCATTGGATGGTGGACGCAAATAAGAAGACAGGAAGAAATCAATATTTACAAAGATCACAAGAAAGAGTGTTCAACATATAGTTCATCTCATGCAAAAAATTCCAGGTAACTCAGTATCTTTAGTCTTTGTAATTTGATCCAATGAAAAAAATATCATGGCACTATCAGAAAGGAAGCTAAGTACCCAACAGAAACTTGTCAATGTAGACAGATAATGTAATCATCAATAGCCCCTCAATATAAATTACTTATAAAAAGAATTAGATTACTATACCGATTTAGAGTAGCACAACTCTTTAGCCTTCTCTATGACCCTAGCAGCTATTTTCTTCAGATCAGTGTCCACATATGGCAGAATTTTGGAGCCTCCTGCAATTAATAATATCAGAAAACCAATTCTTATTCTGAAAATAGAAGACAAATATACCCAAGGCAATAAGCACATAAACAATTTGCATAGCAAAAATAAAATCAGGCATATTTACAGTCCTCTTCTAAGACTTTGAATCTCTATATGAATGTTACATTCTCCATTTCTTCTCAAACGACAGCCATGACAAGTTAAAATACCAACTAGGCATAAAAACAGGACGTATAATATCTTTTTCCAACATTCTGACACAAGTTCATACATGACAGTATATTGAACTATGTAAGACTAAGTGTTCTGATGAGCTCATGAACTTACAGAAAAAAAAAAAACCATGAAATATTCATCGATATGATATACTACTTGTTTAAGTAAGATTAGAAACCTCAACTAAAAAGCTGGGCCTAATATATACAATACCTTTTGAGCATGCGGTTTACCAGGAGATTTTTTTTTGCCTCTACCTACCGTCCCAAAAGTTTGACAAGAATGCAAGATGTTCATATTAAAATGCCCAAATTCTTGGCATATTATTTTTATGACTTATTAGATTTACTTGACACTAGTTTGCATCCATGCACCTAAATTTACCTCTAATTTTCATCCCGCCCTAGCCTCATAGTTTTACGGGGACCAATTCAACAAGTGTACTGAACCTTGTTGTATTTCTGAGCATGTTATTCTACATTTTAAATAGGCAAAGTAAGTTAGGCAAAAATGTTATAGTATGATACATCACTGCCCTAGTGAACAACTTCCATAAATCCGGTTGACACACCAAAGCATGAGACATTGATATCGCCCAAGTGTCGTTGCCTTAATTTACATTGAAGAGAAAAATCAAGAATCCACTAAGACTACTATCAATCTATCATTGACTCTTCATTATCCAAATCAAAGGGTGAAAAAAAGAGGAATTACAAAAAGCCGAGGAAATCGGGTTTGGTTTTCAAGCAATTACGACCCTCTATTTCATTTTTTGTTTGAAAGAGGGAAGTGTTTAGAAGGAGAGCAGTGGAAGATCGGTAATCATAAGATAATATGCATGCTGTGAAATAAAACATTCACCAAAAAGAAAGCCACAGAACTAGTACAGCCTAAAGCCAAACATACACTAAACAATTAAAGTTAAAAAGGATACTACGAAAAAAACTACAAGGTATTAGCCAAAAAGCAGAACATGTAGGTTCAAGCATACCAACTGCTCATGCACCTGCTTCTGAAGACTCAATAATGGGATGGTGTGCTGCAATTAGCTCACAAACAATTCAATGATCTCGTCAGCCAATACATTTAGATCAATTGAATAGTAAAGAATAAAAAAATTGAGCAGAAAAAGAAAAATTGAAAACACAAAAATTTAAACAAAACGCAAGGAAACCATAAATAAGAAAAAAAAATGTAGTACTACGGTAAGACTGTAGAACAGAAAGAGTATTAAGAAGATTGCTCACCTTAATCGTTCTCTTTCTCTCAATCAAACCAGCAAAAATGCAAAATTAATTTAACAAAATTGATGACATCAGAATTATAAAAGCAATTACTTACGAAAACCCTAATTAAAAAAATAGTAGCTTAATTTTTGAGAAATTATAGCATTTAACAACTAAATAGAGCCATTTTCAACAAATTATACTATAATAAATTTAATTGTTTCAAAATACATACCAGTAACTTGAGATTAATTGAGTGCAGCGAGAGAGGACTGGGTTTGAAGGTTAGAGATGTAGGATTCGGAGTCGAAAGGAGGGAGAAAGAGGTTGTTCTTGAACCATAAAGGGGTTAAATCGTAGATTGGGTCGCAGAAGAGTTCGGTATATGAGTGCGGTGGTTGCGCCATTGTTGGTAGTTTTGAGGTCTGGGTTTTAAATCAGATGCAACAACTACAACAAAAACGTACTCCTTCTCATCTACTGTGAAAATATGAGATCTGAGAAGATGAGAAAATGTAGAAGTTGGAAAAATGGTACTGTGAAAATGGTCCTCTATAATCAATTAAGGTGAGAATGGGGAAAATTGGAGAAAAGGGGGAAAATGGTACTGTACTTGACAATTGTGAATAGAGGGAAGCAAATTAAAGACAAGTATTGTTCAAATATTTGGTGAAAAAAATAGAGGGAAGAAATGCGCGCTTCTAAATTTTTCATAATACAACACATACCGTTGCAATAGCTCTCATTTTTTTAAAAATAGCTAGGCTATTGCAACGGCTCTTTTAGAGCCGTGGTAATAGCTCTACCTCTAAGAACATTAGTGTTAAATCCGTGGCAATAGCCTACTCTATTGCAACGACAATTAAAAAACCGTTGCATTAGCCTTTATTAGGCCGTTGCATTTGGTCAAAAATGTAGTAATGACGACATAAACAACGCAGCGCGATGGCACTGTCGCCGCGCGATGAAACCTGACATGGCACGTCGGACTTGAGTTCCTGCAGATTGATTTGCTGGACAATAATTATCTACTCAAGCCTCGTGATGAGAAATAGATTCTTTCCAAAGCAAATGATTATGCATTTGAGCCTTTTGAGAGTCGTGATGAGCGATAAATGATTTGATTTAATTAGTAGTCAGCCCGATTACAACTTGATTGATGATTGGCCTGATGACGATCATATTTTGATTACACATTGAGTGAACACCTTTGAAATCACACCTATGATTAGTAATCGGCCTGATTACAATTTTAATTGATGATTGGCCTAATGACGATCACCTCATTGATTAAGTACGCCTAAGCATTGGCTAAGGCATATTTGAGTATGCCTAAGCATTGGCTAAGCATATTTGAGAACGCCTAAGCATTGGCTAAGCACATTTGAGAACGCCTAAGCATTGGCTAAGCATATTTGAGTACATATAAACATTGGTCGAGCACATTTTCATTACACCTAAGCATTGGTTGAGTCCGCCTAAGCATTGGTGGAGTACATTGATTGAGTAGTGATTGAGCATAATCACAAAGAATTCCTAAGATGGAAGATTTGTACGGAAATCAATTTGAAGCTCGGTAAAACCTTGAGAGATGAGATTTTTACGGTAGATTTTCCAGAGATGGAGAGGATACCACTTCCAAGAGTGAAGCGAGAAGATTTGAAGATGGTTAAGCACTACGATCTTCGACGACATTCCCTAAGATGCAGAGGTTCGTTGTCACCCGATTTTTTAAGACGGCACGAGATGTGGCGGTTTTTTTTACAGTGCTCCCTAAGATTGTGGAGGTTGTCACTTGATTTGAGAAGATGGCACGAGATGTGGCTATCTTCAACGGCTTCCCCTAAGATTGTGGAGGTACGATATGTCACCCGGAGGCGTGTACCCAACAGTGCAAGATACGCGTTTCTTTCCCTTAACTCCTTTATTTGTAGAACTAACGTTTTCTGCAGGTATCGGCGTTGAGAAGAATGATTTAGGATCGCAAAACGTTCTGAATCATTCTCCGTCCCTATCAATTTACTTTGACTTTTTTCGAAACTTATGTTTCTCCAAACTCAGTCAAAGTGGGGGCTTCTATGAACACCTGATTGTGTCTTTGCAAAAACCAAACCCAGTGATGAGTACCTTTCACGTCTTTGATTACCGAGTTAGGTGAAGAGTTGAAGAGTCTCGAAGTATTCCCTTTGGCCTTGACCATTTATAACCTTTCCTTAAATGTTTTAGAACGAAATCATTCATATCGTATCCTTAAAATCATTCATTTCGTGTCCAACTCATAAAAACATCCAAAGAAGTCTATTTTGGTCCATGATCCTGGTCCAATTATTGTGTATTTGGAAGGGGCTTGAAAAGAGTTTTTCAAAGATATATTATAAGCCCAAATCCGACTTATAGCGAAGAAGTTATGGCCAAAATACTAAACTGAGCCTGAATCAAGCCTTACTAGTGGCCCAATGACCATGTGGAGGGTCCATTTACCTTAATCCCAATTCTAAGCCAATTAGGATTTATGACCAAGCTTCTAGAATCATTTAGAAGGTTGTTTTCAATCCTAAATCCATTAGTATTTATTATTAGCATCTTGAATCCTCTAGAAGGTTCTAATTTATCCTGTTTTTGAAAAGATAAAGATTTAAGAATTTTACATCGGATAAAACATTTGTTTTTCAATGATCCTAATCCTGGTCAAAATAGAATACGTACAGATAATCAGTTAACCCAATCCGATTGGGAATAGAATTCCGTACGGATTCAATCTTTCAAAAACCATTGCTGAGCGACAGCACTATTGCGCCGCAACAAAGCTGTCTCGCCACGATCGAATCTGCTTTAATTTACTCCGAGTCGGATGCTAACTCTTTTCTGATCCTTCGACCCTCTTTTTTCTTATAAATAGAGGTCGTTTCACCTCGTTTTCAATCACCCACGATCATCATGTAATCCTCTTTCTAAGCTAAAGCTTTTCTTTCTCTCTTCTTTCTTTTCTTAGCCTTAGCCTAAACACATCCCAACACCTCCAAACACACTTATTTTGATACTTTTCCCAAAGCAAACACCATACCTCCTCCAAGAGCCTTGAATACTCCTAGCCAATCTCAAAGTTGCCTTCGACCTCGACGTGAAAGGTTGATAGTTCTGAGGGTTTGGTCCAAAATCTATATTTCAATTCTTATTTAATTTATTTGATTTAATCTTTCTTGATGTTACTAATGTGTGTATTGTTTTGATAGAAAGAGATACGAGGCATCAAAATCAGTAATTCGATTACTTGATTGATAGAAATCATGCTTAGGATATTATATTAATTCCTAGTATCATGTTAGGATGTTTCTTTTGATTCCTAGTATCATGTTAGGATGTTTCTTTTGATTCCTAGTATCATGTTTAGGGTGTTAATTAGTATTTCTAAAATCATGTTTCTAGTATCATGTTTAGGATAATGCTTTGATCATGATTTTTATTAGTGACATGCTAGGATTTGTTATTAATCTGTTTAGTATCATGGTCTAGGATCTTGCTAATCATGTTTTGATTATGATTATATTGATTATGATGTTTTGATTATGATGGTGATTGTTGTGTCAATTATTATGTTGTTTGATTATTCATGATTATTGTTATTACTTGATCACGCCTCTTCTTGCAGGCTTAAAGGAAATTTAAACTTGAAATCACGCCTAATAAGATAATTAATAATTTGATTTTAGGCAAATATGATTTTAAATCAAGTGATCGCCCATAATAGATTTATTTGTGCATTAATAATCAACCAACGTAGATTAAACAGGTTTAGGAATAATTTGAAGCATGTATGTCGATCGAAAAGCGCACATGAATATCATAAGAATTAAGTAGAGGTCGATTTAGGGTGGGTTCAATCTCTTTAAGGTTGGATTTGTGCCATCATCCCCGAATATCCCGTCATAGTTCCAGACCACTAAGAAGTTAGCGATCTCCGTGATCGTGAATGGGGTGTAATATTCCCACCCGTGAACGGTTTACAAGTTTCTAAAATTTGTTGGAGACTCTTTTATCTCTTGCTTCATTCCCTTTGGACGCCCCCATGCCTAAAAGCATTATCACAGTGGGGCTTAAAGTTGAGTTTGAAAAATTCCCTACAATAACCATATAATAGCAATCCATTTACTAATAAAAGTCGTTGTTATGCAAAAGTCAAGTGCAGTTCTTCATCCTGGTATAAAGTATATCCCCATTTCATGCTGAGCAGCTATGTGTGCTTACTGAAGTGAACCTGCAGGAATGTCTGATGCAAAAGTCTTCTCTTCAAATATAGAACCATCATCACCTTCAGTAATCAGATTGTCATATTCAATTGGTGCATCCCCTTTTTCCATGAGTTTTATATATCTGCATTTGTTGTAAGAGCATTTAGTGAATGTTTCTTCGGTGTTCCTCTTGTGGTCATGAAATCACCACCCTTTTTCATAGTTGCTTCCTGTTTCACAGAAACTCCAGGTATCTTAAGAGCAGTACATGTCTATTTTTATCCTTGATCAGCAACTAACATTGCATTTCCTAAGTTTTTTTCAGGTCTTATAACTGAATCATTAGGTAAAGCATTTTCATTTTTATACTCTCCTTCGGTTAAATGATCAGGAATATAAAGATTTGAAGTGTACACATCAGTGTCCACTTTATCTAATTGTTCTTCGGTACAACTCTTTTTTCTGCAGTGTTCCTGAAGAATCCATGATCATTGTGTGCTCAGATGCAGCACTATTTATTTCTTTGTTCTTCCTTTTTGCACCACTATTCTTTGGAAAAGGCTGCATATCTTTAACATTAATGAAGTGATCTACAGTAGGAGTTGTATCCTGTTTAGAAAAAGTGTAGTGTTTGATTAAGTATGTCCTCAACATTTGGTAGATCATTAGATATATCCGTATCATGCAATTCAGAATCTGTGACTGCATTGTCTGTCTGATCAAATGCTTTTGAACCTGAAGCTGAATCAATATTACTCTGGTACATCTCTGATATATTAGAATAGACTTCACTTTGCCTTTTCTTTTTTGCCTCAATCTCTATTCCTTTCAAACACCATTGAAGGATATTATTCCTTGACAAAGTTGTTGTTGGACCAACTTCAACCAAAACATAGTTGTTACAAAGTTTTTGGTAAATTGAACCAAAACTTTGTACATCTTCCTGTGAATACATAAGTGCTTATTTTAGTACAAATCTTAGGAATTTATTAGTGCACTAATCTGAAGAGTGTGAAACAGCGGTTTCATTAATAGCAAGCAAAGTTTACTGATTAAGATTCAATGATAGCTTTACAATACTTACATAATCTTTCATGAAATGAATTTCTTCAGCAGATTTACCAAACAACTTCTCTGTATCAGCAGTGAATGTTGTGAATGCCATTGCTCCTGAATCATCAACCGCTTCAAATTTTAAAGTAGATCTAGAATAGAAACATAGCTTCATTAGCTAAATAAAGATATATATTGTCCATAGTTTCAAAATGTGAGAAAGCAATCCTTTACCGATAAGAAGCAACACTATCTTTCTTTTTGCAATTACTATAGGTGAACGCTGTCCCAACAGGTATGTTTGTATGCTTTCCACAACCTAAAGCCAATGTAAGTAATTACATCATTTAAATCTGCCTGAGGTATAGAAATGCGCAACCAATGTCGTTCTTCTTGCAATACGTTACATGCCTACAATATAAAACATGGAGCATATTAGTTGGCCATATATATGTAAGCCATTGACATAAACTACATGATTATGTGTAACAGGAAGCTTTACTTTTTTGTCTCCTAGGTTCTGAATACTTATTGTTGTTTCATTTGGTGCAGGGTAACGCACATGCAGTACCTTAGCTTGCCTATCCAAAAGCTGTTGAGTATGCAACCTTGCCCTGCAATAATGCTATCTTAGTAATGATGGTTCTAATCCTAGGAACAGATCATATATTTAAGTTTATATAACCTAACTTTCACGAAGAATATCCGCTTTTTCTCCTTCAGGATTATGTATAAAGTAAGTAGACATACCGGTAGACAATGAAAATCCTTGCATATTCACATGATATGTTAGTGCCTATATCAAAATTGTTAATTGTTTTTTTTTTTTTTTTTGTAAATTAATGCACATAAATAAAACACTTTTACTTACCCTTATGGGCAGAAGATCGTAATGCTGTAAAGCCAATAACAGGATAGTTCTTACTGCATGTGTTCAGGGCATCACAAGCAATCCCAGCTAAATCATTCCAAGGAGTGATGATAAGAGGTTGATCAAAGCTGTTTACATAAACAATATTCAAGAAGTTTAATTACTTGCACCCTTTAAGTCTAAGAATTTTTAACAGGAAAAGGGTATGTAATCTTATGTTTGGTCAGTTATGACAATTTCTCTGACATGCAATTCTCGCCCTTGATTAGAAGTGATAATGCGTAACTTTTCCTCCACAAACAAGACAATACCTAAAACATCTGCAAAAAAAAAAAAAAAAAAAAAAAAACTGGTGTAAGTATATGAAGCACAAATGGAAAGCACTTTAATGTGTTGTATTCATAGAACATGATTTACTCTAAAGCTTACCATATTTGGCTCCTGATTCTACTACTCTAGGTATTGTATGTATTGATTGAAATGTTGGACCAGCTGCTGTTATTTCAGAGTTTGCATGCTGAACAACAGCCTGTCCTCCAAAGGTCATTTGATAAGGAAGTTCTTCAGAATTTTACCTCCACCATTGAGCTATGAGTTTGAGAGGGGCATTTGAAATCAGGTATTCACCATTATAGAATTGCTGTGTTAAAGCTTTCAATCTGTTCTCCGAACAATGTTGCCCTCATTATATTACCCTAAAAGAAAACATATAAGTCTTCTTACATAGTCTAAAAATTCATCATTTGTAACATAAATAAGTGATTCGAAACAAAAAGTACCTTGTCATCAGCAAGCATCAAAGATTGATACAGAGTTCCTTTCTTAGAAGATGTCTTTGGCCTTGCTTTTTCAATTACTTTAACCTTCACAGTATAATCTTTGCTACTACTGTTTAGCTCATTAAGGTATACGTACTTTTTTGCCATCATTTTCAAGCTAAATAAAAGCAGAAAACCACATCAGAACAATGTGTATTTGCAGAATCCATAATAATACCATTTGTTATAGCCAGTAACACAGTTAGTATTTTGAGAAAAGTGAATATTGTTGTGAAATTGATAGGCACTGCTTATAATTGGTATATAAGATCATGAAAACAATAAGCATGAATATCCAACCTTACATGCTATATGGCATGAAGATTAAATGGGATTCGAACAAGTATTGTTTTACTATCTACTTAATTTTTCCAATTTGACTGATTTGCTTAACAGAATATTTATGAATATCCAGTTCTAGCCATATGATCTATACAACACAAGTTTTATTTATATTCCAGGATGCATATATAAATGAAGTTTACAATTGACAGGCAATGACATAAATATAGATACAGAAAGTAACATCGCCACAGATCTATTAGGTTCAATGTTATTTATTCACGTAACACAACATGCTATGATATTCTTCTTTGGCTATATAATGTACACAGTGCAGTTGAAATATGTATGCAAACATGAATTTAAAAGCCAACTAAACCAATGATTAGCAACTATTTGCATATAATTAACACAACAGAGGAAAAGATTCAACCATTTCCATATACTATAACAGTAAGGAATGAAATATAATTAAAAGTACGGCAATTTCATGTAATCCCACTGAGCACTTAAAAATTTCATGAAATGCCATCGTGTTTTCCAAAATTCACCAAATGCCACTGACAAACAGTAAAATGTCATGTCATGCCATGCCATTAATGAGGCATTTCCGTTAGTTGACCGTCAGTGTCCGTTGGTCGACTGTTAGTTAACCCAACACTTCGTGTCACCTTCTGATTGGTTTGTTTTTTATTTAAAAATAAACCAAAAAATTAAAAAAAAAAAAACCCAAAAAAATTTAGAAAAAAAAAAGAAAAGACAAAGAAAAAAAAAGAAAAAAAAAAACACCACCATCTTTCTCATTCCATCTCTGCCATCTTTCCACCACCATTAAAACCCATGTTCAAGCTTGAAGGCAAGAACCCAACATGCTCATTTCTTCACCACTTTCTACAAAATTACTATCAAAATGCTCACAATCAAGAATGCAACAACATGGGACAAACAATTTCATCAAACAAGCATCATACGAGAAAGCCCCAAATCGATTTTTCAAAGGGGTTTTTCGAACCCGAAACTCCATTCCCCTCCCCTTTGCAATCTGTGTGTAATTTCTTCTTCTCATTGCAATGTAAGTATTTCCATGTATAATCCTTGCTTCATTGTCGAATTCATACACATTTTTGAAAAATTCGAAAAACCCCTTTGTAAAATCGATTTGGGGCTTTCTCGTATGATGCTTGTTTGAAAAAATTGTTTGTCCCATGTTGTTGCATTCTTGATTGTGAGCATTTTGATAGTAATTTTGTAGAAAATGGTGAAGAAATGAGCATGTTGGGTTCTTGCATTCAAGCTTGAATATGGGTTTTAATGGTGGTGGAAAGATGACAGAGAGGGAATGAGAAAGATGGTGGTTTTTTTTTTATTATTATTAATTTTTTTTTTTTTGAAAAAATTATTATTATTATTATTTTAGGTTTTTTTAAAAAAAAATTTCTTTAAAAAACGAACCAATCAGAAGGTGACATGTGGCAAGTGCAGTGGCGGACCCAGGAATTTCCGACTGGTGAGTCACAATCGATAATCAAATATGTAAAAAAAAAATTTCACAATGACATGTAAGGAGACATTTACTTCCTAAACTTGAAAATAAACAACACGATTGGAGACCAAATTAACTACAGTGGATGTAGCCTAAATACATATCAGTCCACAACATGTTTTACAGGATGGTCAATAATTTTGAAGCAATGCCTCAAGGCGTAAAAGCAATCCTTTTTTGGCACTTCAATATGATTCAAGCATATGATCAGGAATAAACACGAATAACAATTGATTCACAATACAAGTATACAATATTCCCAGCATGAAATAGACTCAAGAATTACAGAAATTGCCCAAATTAAAACCAAAATTACAGAGACTCACCCATATCCAGGCAAATTAACAATATACCAACTCTTGTTGATTAGAAAATGATTGATAAGCTGAGTCTTCCCTGCATATAAATTCAACAACCTAATCAAACACAAAGTTAACAAAACAAATGAAATCACAAGTATGAATCATATGCAAATAACCCCAACAACGAATTACCCCTATTCATAATTGGTTGGACGGTTCATATTCAACTAAATCAAGCAATATTCAACTAAATCAAGCAATATTCCCCAGAAAAATTATTTACAAAGATCATCCAAATAGAAAATTGACAAGATTACAATACTAACTAATAATTAAAAAGCTTAAAATTGACAAGACTAAAATCAACAAACTAATATCTCCACTAGTCTATACGGAACTTCCAGCCGAATATGCGACTAGCACCACTAAGCACTAACCAGTCCAAACTGTAATCTAATTATAAATTTATAATCCTCCTTACACTAATAGTTTAATTGCTGTCTTATACAATGTCCGACATCACATATTCACAATTTCACATAATGACATGAACAGATAAACTAATAAGTTCAATTTAACAGTCAAAACACAATTTACACAAATAATGCAAATTCAATGGACATTCACCGTATATACTAATTTTAAGAGACAAGTAATGAAAATTTGATCAAAAATTCACAAAAAAAAAAGAATCAATTGATGATTACCTACCTTGCTAGGCGGAGGCGGCAGGCGCTGAATGATTGAGGCGAGCAGCGGAGCAGCACTGCAGCAGAGCCATGCCCAACACTCAGCAAAACAGCAAGTCAGCGACTAGGCACTGGAGCAGAGGACAGAGCACAGCTGCACAGAGCACTGGAGGCTGGAGCAGGCGAGCAGCAGCCAACAGGCCAGCAGCACAGCCAGCACTGGAGGCGTGAGCAAACTAGCGAAGAGCAGTAGATTATGAACAATTAGTCAATTAGGGATTGAGTTTATAACTAACATTTTACATTTCTCAAATTCACAATTAGGGATTTAGGGTTCAAACATTTCACAAATTCACAATTCAGATAATGCAAAATTCTCTGAAATTGAGTTGATTATTGAACAATTAGGGATTTAGGGTTCAAATTTAGTATTACTAAATCATAATTCATAACTAACAACTAACAAGTAATATCAACAATTAAATAAATAAATAAATAAATAAAAAGCCGAAAGATGAGTAGATGAGTAGATGACTAACCTGAAATTATGCGAAGAGGAAGATGAAGCGAACTAGCGAAGAGGAACTGAGGTCTGAGGAAGAGGCGAAGAGGAAGATGCGAACTTGCGAAGAGGAAGAGGCGAACTGGCGAAGTGGGCTAGGGTTAACTCAGACGTTAGAATTTTTTATTTATTTTTTTTTTTTAAAAAAAACTTAAAATTTTTTTTGGGCCCTGGTGAGTCACTTGACCCACCAGGCACAAGCCCAGGTCCGCCACTGGGCAAGTGTTGGGTCAACTAACAGACACTCGTGAATTTTAGAAAACAGGATGGCATTTCATGAATTTTTTAAGTACTCAGTGGCATTTCATGAAAATGCCGTTAAAAGTAAGCAATAAAGAAGTTACCTTGTATAGCTGAATGAAAGTCCAGTGCTGAAATTTTTCGTTCTTTCACTTAAAAAGAAGGAATGATGAGATATACTACATATACTTTGGAAAAGTAGTAAAAGATAAAACCTCACACGTGCAAAGGAGGCCTATCTTTCCCTTAATTATATATCTAAAACACTTTCCTTACCTTAAGCCCCAAGTTATAGCCAACATACTTTAGTACTTTCAATATCCTACTTGTACTTGCACAAGATTTATGGCTACATCATAGGTATAGGCAAAGTGTGGTAGAGCTAAAAGTGATTGACAGTTTTAACTGATCTATTTATACAAAAATGTAAGATGGGTTGGTTACTTTTAGAATATTTTAAGCAAATTGCATCGTTTTATTATGGTAAAATAATATTGCTTAACTTAGTTACACTTAGAGGCCGTTTGGTTCGTACAAGGTAAACGGAATGGAATCAACAAAGGGAAAGGAGGAGAAAGGAAAGCTAATCCCTCTTTTTTGTATTATTGTTTGTTTTACATAAACAAAGGGAATCACATTTGCAACCACCACTACTCTCCTCCTTCTACAACAAGTCAACCACCACTACCCCTTAAATCTACCATTCACCTACCACCACCACCAATTTAGCCACCACCCTCCTCACAACCTGCCACCGTCTGCCATGTCACCTGCCTGGCAACGCTGGTTCCCTCCCCTCTACTGCCGTTAATGCCCTCTTCTCTCTCAATTTTTATTTTTTTTTTTAAATTTATTTGATCTAGTTGCTTGGTTGTTTATAAGGTGTTAAGGATTATCTTTTAGATGTTTGTGGCTAACTAGGGGTGTTTATGGAGAAATTTAGGGTTTTGGGGTGGATCTGGAGGTTTTGGAGATATGGGTGGTGGTTGTGTTGAATTAGGTTAAGTGGTTTGCACAAAAGGTGGGTTTTTCGAGTGGGTTTGGGTCGATTTTGGTGCGATTGTTTTCGGGGAGGGTGGGTTTAGGGCAATTTGGGTGAGCGACGATGCCGGTGAAGTTGGGTCGGTCGATGGTGGTGGTGTCGACAGTTGGGCGGTGGTTCTGTTGACGGTTAAACAATGGTGATGGTGGCTGGGCGGTGGTTCTGGTTGTTGGGTGGTGTTTTGGTCAAAGGTCAGTTGGGTGAAGAGGAATTTGGGGGAAAGAGTGATTCCCTAGAGGAGGGGTGAGAATCAAAGTAGAGGATAATGGAGTAATAGGAGAGGTAAAGGGAATGATTGAATGTGTGTAACAAACATCATCAAAGGGAATTAAGATAGTTGATTCCTTTTCCCTTTCTTGAATACCCCCAACCAAACGGTTTCTTATTATACTGAATTCGATCATGGCCTTTGTAGACATATTTATATAAGTATTTAACTACTTTGGTTGATCATACTTCAACATTCACATGGTAATAAAAAAAAAACAGAAAAATATGGATTATATGTTATCACCCAACGATTATGTAAGTGATCATTTCTAATTTTCACTGTCTCTCCTGTATTCCATCTTCTGTATAAAGGGTATTCTTCTTAATTAACAATGGTCTCTTCAGAAAACTGTTTAGGGAAACCAGACTTACATGACTCTTTCATTCCACACCTACGCATATATGAGCATATAGGATTCAAAATTCCATATGGACCATGCATTATATGGCCAAGTACTATTTTTTGCAGAGAAAGTGATGTAACAGGAGGAATTTCTGCAAAAACAAACTTGTCATAGTCTTCAACACATTTCAGTTTGAATTCTGGCTTTAAGATTATTAAAAAATGTGCATGTGGCAGGCCACGCTTCTGAAATTCAACAACATATATCATAGCAGCAACCTTACCAAAACGCTTCTTTTCCATTATTTCTTTTTTCAATGTTATTAACTTAGAATGGAAGATGTGTGCTTCTAAATCAGGACGGTCTTGTGCTTGTTCCCGAGGAGCTAACTTGTTTTTAATCTCAAACCAATAAGCACTGCATGTCATTGTGAGAAAAAGATCTGGCTTCCCAAATTTTTGAACCAAAGCCATTGCATTAAAATACTGCCTTTTCATGTCTCGTGGACCTCCAATATATGTAGGAGGTAAAATCACTCTCCGCCCTACATTTGCTGCTATGGCTTCTCCACAATCTAAAGAATCAAGCACTCCCTGATATAAATCTGCCCGTATGGTCCATTGGTTGTTGCGGAAAAAATCAAGACTTGTATTCTCTACTTTAACATACATGTCAACGATATACTGTTGGAAGCATCTACCAGCCTAGAGCAACAAATTATTAGGCCTGATTTGTAGTTTGTAAGCATAATATTCCCTTGCTGAGACAAATTTATCGGCTTTTGTATTCCATCTTGAAGCACCTGCATTAATAAATCAAGGTAGTCAAAAGACATTTATACAAGCTGAACATGTGAATGGAATTAGTATAGCCATAGGTATATAAACCCATACGAGATGCTTCTTTTTGAAAGTAACTCTTCTATAAAATGAACAGCACATGACATCACTGGGTCAACCTGCCTAGCAGTTTGATGAGCTCCACCCCATGATTTTTTTTAAGACCTTGAGTCCAACCACATTCCCCTTTTGGAAATAAAAGAGGGTACTACAATGGGTCATAGCAGCCATAATAATGTTGAATACGATGAGACTTAGATGATTTCCTATGAACAACAATATGAGGGCTACTGCTCTGGCTAGACGATGAATTTTCTGGCAAAATACCAGCAACTTCATCAACAGATGGAGCATTATAAACTCTTAGATCAAGAACTGTGTTCTTTTTCAGAACAATAGTTGTCTGATCATGAATAGTAACATCACGTAATGATCTGAAAAACCTTGCATATGGTTATCTTTAGTAGCATCCATTAGTAAACCAGCAATATCATCCCTCACTTCTGGAAAACTGTCTGCACGATGAGCAGGCTCATGTTGTCCATCATAAAAATACAACTGTAAATATTTAGGGTGCCCATCGGTTGGTATTAAATCTGGATCAAAGTGATACATTTGACCTTGTACCTTCAACACTTAAATTCCTTTATAAGTACTTGCATCAAAATGACCACCTAATGAACTAAAAGCAAATAAATTATTATATAGCCGAGCATCTTTTGAAATGCACACAGTCACTGTTGTCACATGTAAATAGTATTTGTAATTCAGGAGGATATTCATTTGCAGCTATTTCAATTTCTCCATTACCACAGCATAAATGAAAACTCTCAAATGCAAATTTTTTTGAATTACATTCTCCACAGAAATGTGGATCAGCTAACTAAACAGAGCCAGCAAGCAACTCCAAACCGATAGTTGCTACTGGTACAACTGCATTAACCATGTGTCTGCAATTATTCTGCTGATAAAAATCTAATATTGTTTTTAAAAAAACTATAACAAACCAGTGTAGGGTTTCGTAGTGACCCGACACTATGCGGAAGGAAACCCACCAAGACCCGCCCCTTAATTAAAGCAATTAAACAAGCATAATAAACTTAATCAAACAAGATTAAGGACAAGAATTATACATTTGACGCGTGCTTCGCTCCCAAGGAGCTCTTACTTCAAAATCCCGAAAAGACGAGATCTTCGACGGATCGTACCCTCGACCCGACCCGAGCGTCCTAAGTCTTGAAGGTTAGTCAAGACCCGGACAAAATAACTATGAGTTTTACGAATCAAAGATTTACTCTTTTCTAGAGTTGCCTTTTTATTTCAACTCAAGATTGTCTCAAATCCCAATACCAAGCTTGGTATTTATAGGGAAATGATCCCTTGATTTTTCATCCTCCACCAATGTGGGAGAATGCATTTTGCTAATTAATTTATTTCTAAAATAAATTATTAAACAAAACTAATCACAATGCAACAAGTGTCAAGTAGAGAGAGAAGGTTAGGTGAGGACCATGAACCTTTGGGGGGGGACCATTTCCTTGATCCCCAAGGCATGCTCTAAGCCAATTGGTCCCCACTCCCTCAAACCGCCACAAACAAGGGGCATGCTGGGCTGCTGCCAGCTAGCACGCCGGCTAGATGGTGCTGTCCAGCAGCCTTGCATGCCTGGTGCCAGGCCATGCTAGGCGCTGGTGCTAGCCAGTGCTAGGCGTTGCTGCTGCTGGCAGCCTAGCACTGCCTATCGCACCACGCACACTCTCTCTCGCATCGCATCGATGTCACTGGC